CTGCCATACATGAGGTCGCTATGAGTTGGAGACAACTCGATGGCACCTAACAATAGCATGCATGTGTGTATGTATTCATTCATAAATTCAACACCTATCTTAGGCGGTCCTCCAGAAGCATCTTTGTGTTGCCCTGCAAATGCCAAGACATCCAAGGTGGGAACCTGCCTGGGAAGCCAGGCTCCTCTGTCCACTGTATCAGGCGGGACTTCCGGGTCTTCCCTGATTGAGACACAGACATTAGAGGCTCCACTGGAACTAGGTCAGGTGTTCAGGAAGGAACAAGACTAGGTAAAATTCTCTGGGATCTCTGCCTGATAGTGGGACTCCAGTTGCTACTTTGACTATTTGTCTCGAAGTTGTCAACACCCTCCAGCCAACACTGCCCAAAGCACTCTCGTAGTTGAGCAAGTTGGGTTTATTGCTCATTGCAGTGAGGGAGAGCGCACACCTTGGGCAATGTGGGGTGTCTCCGGAAGAGGATGTTAGGAAGGACTTACTATAGGATTTGGGCTTGTGCTGGGTGATTTGGGAGAGGGCTTAGGAAGCAAGGGTACTCTATGTTTAACTCTATTTATCTTATTAAATAAACTTATCCGGTTAAGAGGGAAGACTAGACTAGAGCTAAAACTGTAATTGGTAAAGCAACAGCAGTCAGTCATATTAGCTGTCGGGGGGAGGGTTAGGCTTTTCTGTAGCCTGGGCAAAATTCGTGTTTTTGTCTGTGTTCAGACATGATTATGCAGTGGTCTTGTTTTCGTCTTGATGCATCATGGTCACAGAGTGTCCTTGTATGATGATAATGTCCTATGAATCTGTTTATGTTCAGCAGAACACCAAGACCTAGCTGCAAGGGCCAGGCAAGTTTGTAGCAACAGCAACACTTAGCTGACAGCACCAGGCCAGCTTCTGGATGCAGGGGCTGCTTCTCTCTTTCTCAACATGGCCATTTTGAGATGATCCCTGTTTTTCAACTAGGACTTGGCTGTCCAGTATCTAAATATTTAGACCCTCCCTGTACTCTGACCCAGTCACACCCTTATGTGGAACCAGCCAGGCAGGGGGGTGGGGGGACACGGGACGTCATCACTGGCTTGGGCTGTGTGTATCTGTGTGTGGTTTTATGTACATGTGTCTGTGTTGGCCAGAAATTCCATAAGATGGAAAAGAGGCCAGAGGCAGTTCCACTTCATCTCTGGGCTCAGCAAGACCACCCATCTGCCCAGAAAGCAAGGTGCTGGGCTTGAGGCCCAACAATCTCTAGGGCAGCAAGAGTGCCCAGCTCTAGGTGGAGTCAGGGAAGGACACAGGGATATATCACAGCAGCCAAACTCCAGAGGAGCGGGAAAGGGAAGGGGTAGTAGTGGAAGGGAGGGGAGAGTTCCTTTGTATAAATGGGTCTCTTGAGAAGCTGCTGATTTTCCTTCAAGGAAACAGGCTGCAGTAGGTCACTGTGGGTTCCCTTCCCCCATCCTTCTTTGCTCTAAGTCTCCAAAACAGTCCCTGTTGATTAAAACAACCACAACAACACAATCGCATATGTTGACCTCATCCTCCACCAAGAGGCTTAATCTGACCCCTTTCCAATCAACCAAGCTTCCTTCCCTCAGCTCTCTCTTCAGGACATCTTCCTGATCTAGTACCATCATGAAGTGGTGTCAAGGTGCCATCCAATACAATTTATAAAATGGCAAGGAAAAGCAAGGTGGAGGACAAGTGGGTGGGCTCCAAAGGCTTAATATTTTGGCAAAGTCCTAGCCCTTCTTTCCAGGGTGTGACTATATTACACTGTGCTGTGGCCTAGTTGATCACAGACTGACTATTGAGGGCCAAATCGCAACCAGCAGGGCTCATCTGTATAGCAGAGCCCCTATGGTTCCCTATGGGAGCTCTGGTAGCATAGTGCCTAAGGCACTTGACTGCTAACCAGAAGGCTGGCAGTTCAAACCCACCAGCCACTCCTTGGAAGGAAGATGGGGCAATCTGCTTCCGTAGTGATACTGCCCCGGAAACCCAAGGAGGGGTTGCTATGAGTCGGGTCCGACTCAACAGCACACAACAACAACATGGTTCCTGGGACCCTGAACAGACAACACACATCCTGGATAAGTGGCAATGGTGGCAGGGGGTGTATGCCCTCCCACAAACAATCTGAGCTTCAGAGCCCAGAGCCTACAAAACAGAGGCTCATTTTTCTCGTAAGCCCTGTCACTGAGCATCATCCAACCACTCAACCGGGGACTTGTCCAGCACTTTGCCAGGAGTTTGCAGGGTTGGGCATGTGGTCCCCATCCTGAGAAAAACATGTAGTCTCTCTAGGAGAGCTTATAACCTTCTGGGGGAGAGAACACTAATGCACAGAGAATGTATTAGAGAACAATTAGGTTCAAAGGTAGTAAGTGCAACTGGAGTTCAGAGATGAGAAATTAGCATGGGCACTAGTCCAACTAGTACCATCAGCAAGGTAGGTCTTGAATGGGGCCTTGAAACAGAAGTAGGATTTGGATAGGTAAAAGGGAATAGGGATGGTGTTGCAGATATGAAGAGTATAGACAGATGTTTAAAGGTGGCAGTGAACCAGGTCTGTGTGTGTGCATATGCACATATGTGTTCATGCACATGCATATTAGAAGTCACAGGAAAGAAAGTCAGGCAGAGTATGCTGAGATCACAGAGGGCTATAGGAGACTTTGGACTTGATATGGTTGGTGAGAAGAAATCACTGTAAGTTCTTCAACAGGAAAGGGCCATGGAGAAATCTGTGTTTTAGGATGTGATCTGGTAGCAGGAGTTGACTAAGGACAGAGGGCTATAGGAGACTTTGGACTTGATATGGTTGGTGAGAGGAAATCATTGTAAGTTCTTCAACAGGAAAGGGACATGGAGAAATTTGTGTTTTAGGATGTGATCTGGTAGCAGGAGTTGACTAAGGACAGACAGCCCTCTGGTAGCAGTATTTGACTAAGGACAGATGGCCCGGGTTGCTCTTCCATCCTTGCCATGTCCATGGTACACTGTGTCCTCTTCTTAGGCACATCTCACTGTGCTGTAATTATGCATTCACTTGTCTATCGTGTCCACAGTGACACCAGGCATTCCTTAAGTAGTGGCTGTGCTTTCTCCATCTTCCTATTGCATCTACTTGGCTCATAGTAGGCGTTCAATAAAGATTGAGTAGATGAACAAATCTTTTAATTGTAATTGAGTTACAATTACATACCATACAAAGACAATCGTCAAAGAATTTGACTAAATTGCATGTTAACGCTAAGATAATTTCATTTTTTTTTTTTAAATGGTTTTCGGGGCATGCCAGGATCTTGGTGTCTTACCACTATTTTTGTAATCAGGAATTATTTCTGCACAATAATTTCTGTTTCACAGGATGCTTCAAGGGGCCTCTACATATGAATTTGGCTATACCGTACAGCAGATCATTTCCTAGTAAGCCTGTCTAGTTAAGAACCTGTTCCACTGCACTAGCTAGCTCGCTTAAAGTGGCAGTTTGTCCTGCTCTCCTAGTGTCAGGAGAGGTTTCACTGTACAGCTGCAAACCCCTTTAAAGAAACCAATGGAAAAAAAAATCCAGACTGGGAGTAATTTTCTCTTTATAAAAAGATTCAGAATAGTAATCTTGAAATTAGTAAAAAAAAAAAACAAAACAAAACTCCTCTTAATTGAAATATGATTTTTATTTGTTTATTGTGATTTGGGTGAAAGTATGATTTTATTTTTAAAAGCTAATTGATTAAAAATGCAAAACATAGAAGTTGGTGTATGAAACTTTGTCTCTCCAAGACATCATCTGTAGTTAGGTAGGCCTATACGCAGATTTTAGATAAAAAGTTAGGAGAGGGGAGATTTCTAGTTTGGGGGATAGTGAGCAGGAGTTAAGCGATCATGATCCCTGCAAAGGTCAGTCTCAGGCTTGGCCGTGTAGCTGCCTGGGATATGAGCTGCTGCATGATACAGCAAATTCATACGTACAAGACCCTTGAAGCATCCTGTGAAACAGAAATTATTGTGCAGAAATAATTCCTGATTACAAAACTGGTGGTAAGACGCCAAGATCCTGGCATGCCCCAAAAATCATTTTTTTTTTAAAAAAAAGATGAAATTATCTTAGCGTTAGCATGCAATTTAGTCAAATTCTTTGACGATTGTCTTTGTATGGTGTGTAATTGTAACTCAATTATAATTAAAAGATTTGTTCATCTACTCAGTCTTTATTGAACGCCTACTATGAGTCCCAGGTCCCTGAAACCTTCTTTCTGTCTTCAGTAAAAGCCCTTTCTGCCCATCCTCATGCTGGCCCCTTGAGGGAGGGAGCCATACACAAGGGTAATTCCAGGTAAAGCACAGTTTATGGTACGCTTGTTTGTTCACCCAACAATGCTTTACTAAACAGCCACTAGGAGCCAGATCCTGTGCTCAGCTCTGGAGACAACCAGAAGCAATTACATGGTGCCTGCTTTCAGGAAGCCCACCGACCAGCAGGGAGACACACAGGAGCAAGGACCAGCCCATGCTCGGCAGCACCAGGAAGTCTTCACAGAGATAGTGAGCGTCCCTAGAGGAGCGGTCAGGGGCCAAGCACCACAGGCAGAGGCCACAGCAGGTAGTAGAGAGGCCTGGAGGGGCCAAGAGCACTTCCGGGAACGGACAGATGTCTCGAGTGAGGTGTGGGGAATGCACGGCTGAGAAAAGTCCTACACTTTCCAGCAGCTCCCACTGCCTTTTCTCTAATCTGCACAACTTTCCTCCCTTGCCACCCTCTTTAAAAGAGAACAGAATTTAATTTAGAAGAATCAGGTTTTATTTAATGACATGAATATTAAGAATTCATCTACATGGTTGAAAATCATCAGAAAGGACTTGATGTTTCACACTCATACACCCAGAGGATGTTTGCTCAATAAAAACTGCTCCGGTACCCCTGCTACCCACCTCCCACCCGCCGTCAGGGGCAGAGAAGGAGCTGCCCACTCCTCTAGGGGGCTTTAGTCTTCATGAATGTTGAAGAGTTTGGCCACTTCATTGAGATCTTCATGTTGCTCACCATCCTTAATGATCTGAAGGACAGAGTAACGAACAAGGGGTCACGTACTCACTCTGTGTGCACTGAGGCCAGGCGCACACAATAGGGCAGCCTGGGCCAGTTCCCACATCACTCTGAAGGAGTGGTGGGAACAGCTTTCTATTAACTCAGAATGAGCAGTGTGCCAACTCTCAGGCCACCCAGCCAAGACCCAGTGAAAAAGAAATGTTCCCGAGGCAAGGCTGTGCTTTTGTTCGCCTGGGCACAATTCGACCCAGGTGGACAATGCATATCAGGGTGTCTGACGAAGTCCCAGGAACAGTCCCCAACCTCATTCCCCATCTTCCTCCAAGAGCTCTGACAGGTACCTACCTTTCTTGCTATCGGCATTCGGTTAAAGATGTTCCATAGCACGATCCCCACCACCACATTGTCCCTGAGGTAGAAGATGACACCTTTGCCATAGTCCTCCCCTTCAGTGGGGGCCTGTGGGACTGCTGGGCTGCTTGGAGGAATAGCGATGTCTGAGGCCTCAGCCTCTGTCTCACTCTCTGATCGGATACCAGTCCCTGTGGCCAGCCCCCCAACAAACAAACAAACAAGCAAAGGCAAGACCTCAGTTATTATGAGCTTGGAAAATTCTAGAAGGCAAGAGTCTTCTAGAAACCTGCTTCAAGATTATTTGCTGTTGTATGTCCCTGTCCATTGACAAAGCCAAGGAAAGCGCTTCCTTGCCAGCTCTTGGGCACTGGGTCAGTCTGACCCCAAACTACCCCCCTTATTATCTAATTTTGAATTTAGACTACAGGTATTTCCTGATATCTGGAGCTCTTGTTTGTTCATTAATTCAACAATGATTCACTAAGCAGAGACTTACTTGCTTAGTAAGAGCCGATTAATTGCAGAGGTCTTGCTCTTACCCTCTGAAAAACATTCTAGAGCCACACTGTCTGGTATGGTACCAGCTAGCCACATAGCTACTGAAATTTAAATTAATTAAGGTTAAAAAAATTAAAAATTGAGTTCAACTGCACTAGTCACATTCCAAGTACTCAACTGTCCTATGTGACTGGTAGCTCATGCACTGGATGGAGCAGAGGGAGAACACATCTCCATCCGTGCAGGAAGTTCTACTGGACTGCTGCTACAGAGATATTCTGGCCACAGCAGGACCAGGCAGTTTCCAGGTGGGAGGACTCTAATCAAGGAGTTTCCTCCCGGAGGGGGGGAAGGGGAATGGCAGCCGGGGACGGGGGCACTTTGCCTTCTGAGAACAAGCAGGGTACAAGTCACACTACCCAGTGGCCAGAGCAGGACCTGGTGTTTATAAATGCCTGGGTCCCTCTCTTGGATCCACTTCCCAAGACGGGTCAGAATTCAGCAGTGAGTGTAATGTATTCTACTTGAATTGTACAGAGAGGCAATCTACACAGGCATGTATCTTGCTCTTTTCTTCTTAAAGACCTACTTGCCCTTGAAACTCCTCTGGCAAAGGACACAGAGGTTAAATAACTCAAGCCAAGGTCAGAGAAGGGAGACAGTGCAAGGCCTAGGAGTTAATGAAAAAGATGTGTGGGGGAGAGAAGTCCATTCTGAGAGAGGTGCCTCCCTCTAGAGAATGCTGGGCATTATGATCCAACAAATGGAAGCGAGCAAGCTCAAGAACCACTCGGCCAGTTCTTTGCTGCCTAGGGCCTGGGGAGGGTAGCAAGTCCTAAACTACCACTTTCACTCCTAGTTCCTAGGATTAGCAGGATGCAAAACAAAAATACACAAGGATTTTCTTCATCCCACAAGTTTTCCTATTCCCTGGAGACAAACTAAACAACAGAGTCGTCAGGTCAGCTACTGTCCAGAGTCTAGCACAGACCCACAGTCTTTGAGTCTATGCTTTGACAGGATACGTGATTCTGTCAGCTCTCAGACCACTAAAGAGTGAGGACTTGGATTTGCTTTATTTTAAAGCACAACATGAAGACAGGCTTTCAGCGACGGCTCCCTCTGGCCAATACAGAAACCCCTCATTCAGGAAAATTTGGCCCAATGCTTCTCAACACTCTTCCAAGAGAAATGGTCGGGCTTCCTTACCTGACTGCTCGGTGGCAGATTTTGGGTTGTCTTGTGCAGTTGCTTTTGCAAAAACACCAACTGTGGGCAAACTACTGTCCACAAGGCCAATAGCTTCATAGCCAACATCAGGACCCAAATCACTCCTAAGGAGGCAGAGAGAAGAGGGTTCTGCCAAGGGAACAGCATGGTAGTACATGTTCTCTAAGACACAGCCATGTTATACTAACTAAACAACAGGGGAAATGTCAAAATCATCTGTCTCCCACTAGGGCAGCTAGGGACAATCATGAGAAAGCAGGATTATCCCAAACAGCATTTATTTTCCTTAAGAAGCCGTCAGACACATCACACATCCACAAATGATATAAATGATTTTAATTAACTTATCCTTTTATCCTATACCACATGACGGGGGTGATGCGTTCCACACTTTACTATCTACTGCCTTCCTTTCGTTTGTCTCGAAAGTGCCTTTAGGAAGCTTTGAAGAGTGCCTTGTATTATATAATCCAGAATTTGAGCTGTTTTATGATTTCATTAATCGACATTATTTCCTGTTTTTCAAGGCTGGAATGCTTTCTTATAAAGAGATACCTTCCCACTTGGCCATTTTGTTTTAATTGTTCTTCTTGGGAACTTTGCATATTATCATCACACCTTTCTTTTTTAAATTTTATTGTGATTTGGGCAAAAGTTCACATCTTCCATACAGCAGTTCACATACACTTTGTCTTATGACGTTGACTGCAATCTCCCACAATGCACCAGCTCCCTTCCCACTTCCTCCCCATAGCCACCTCCTCCCTGTGTCCTTCCCTCCCACGCACTCCTGGCCCCCGAGCTGTCTCCCTGTGCATACACAGCCCTTCTATTCTCCCATGATTATCTCTCTATAAGGACTGTATCCACCTAATGTAAATGTTCAGCTCATATGCCTGTCTTTGGTTTGGCTGGAAGCCACAGGAGTGGGTTCAACTCCAGACCTGAAGGGTAGCTAGGGGCCACAGTCTCAGGGGTTCCATCAGGCTCTATCAGACCAGCAGACCTGGTCTCTCTCTTTTTTTTTTTTTTTTCACATCACATCTTTCTTATTGTGCTCGGAACCTCGTGGAATATTTTGGGCACAGACACACTATAGTTTTATAATAATTGAGGACACTTCAGTGGCTTTGTTCCTGGCATCTACAGTCTGTTCTCTTTTTGGCCACAGTAGCTCACGGGATTGGTGTCTTCAGAGAACAGTCTACAATGACTCCTGGGATTCTGTTTGTGGGTCCTAATTGATAATTGTATAGTTATGGACCATTTTTAGCTAACTGCATTATCTTACATTAGTTGACCCTGAAATTCATCTGGTACATTTTTGCTGCCCACTCACAGAACTGTGTGTGATATTACTAAAATGTACTCCCACCAGCTGAGACTTTCTCTATCAGAAACAGCTTAGCAGCTTCTGAAACCTTGAAACTTTTTTTGTGTAGCTCATAAAAGCTATATAAGAGTCAACTAGGGCCAACCCTAGTACTCAGGAATGTCCACTGCTGACTTTTCTTTATCCAAAGAACTGCCTCTATGTGCTTGACTCTGAAATGCCCATCTTAAGGGGTACAGATGAATGGGCTTTTTTTTTCAGTATGTTGGGCTCATTAGGATTACCAGCACAGAACAAAATAAAATATATTAAGAAGACACCTTGGTACCACCTACTTTAGGTCACACTCTGAGCTATTTTTCCGGAAGTGCTAATGCCACCTCCGTTCATTCACCTAGTCTAATTTATGCCAAACAGGACACTTTTACCAGATGGCCACTCAGGGTTAGAATGTATGGACATGAGATGGGATTTTTTCCCCTCTGTATGAAGCTAATTGGCCCGCAAGGAAACCAAATCATAGCCCTGGTCCCATTAATTCTGTGTTCTAACAAATCAAGTCCCCAAGGAACATAACTATTACCAGAACATCGACTGATGCCAGTATGGCTTAGCAGCGCCGGTCATATTTTCTCCAGCCAATCTTCCGCTCACAACAGCGTGATCATGGTGCTCTACCCGCCTCCTACCCAACTTTATATCATAGAAGCACGCAGCATCTCCTGCCTTTGGAAACAAATGCATAACACAAACACAAGATAAAGCAGCAAGTTCAAGACAGAACATAATTTTGAGGGCTCAAAGAACCTGGAATGTTAAGTAATTAATATTTTCCATCTAATGTCCAGAAAAATACCTCATCAAAAACAGCTGAGATTCCTTTTTGAGAAAATTAATTCTGTGCTTCCACAAAACTTACCGAAATTTGTAGCTTAAGCCTATTTCTTCTCATTCTGGCCTTATCAGAGACAGAATTTTTAATAACCCTGATTTCCAGAATATTCTTTCCTAATATGTGAAGACCAGGTTTTAGATGTGACTGCCTCTCACCTTTAAACCTTTTCAAAGTTAAGGATTTTTTTGGGGGGGTTCCTCTGCATACATGCATTTGTTCAACAAACACTTACTGGACAAAGCATTATACTATCTGGATTGCAGCGATGAAATGACATGGGCTCTGCCTACAAGGAATGCATAACCCCTTAGAGAAAGATACAGGCTTGGCTATAACCACAAATGCAATGGACTAGCACTGTGCAGTGTGAGAGGTACAGATGAAGTGAGCCAGGTGTTTCAAGCAGAGAGAAGAACTGCCAGGTGGGGGTGAGCAGGGCCAGCTTCACGAAGGAGGTGGCATTTGAGTTCATCTTTGTGGCTATTCAACCCCACCCCCCAAAGCAACCTAAAAATCCAACAAGTTAAAGTGGGAAGCTAAACTATGAAATCCACTTAATGGAGTATTACATTATCCAGTCATTAAGCTGTTTGTACAGTCTGAAGGAACGTGAGAAATACATTATAATGTTAAATAAAAAAAAAGCAGACACAAATGTTCATACACAGTATGCTCACCACAACCAAGTAAAACAAAGACAACCTACCCACAGGGAAGCAAAGCGAGGGAAAGACACCAAAACATTCGTGGTGGCTGCAGGTGGTCTGCCCCTCTCTCCTTGCCTGTGTCTTCTATATTGAGCATATATTACATTTAAAACAAGTTTAAAAAAAGCTAGTACACATGATCTTAAAAAAAAAAAAAAAAACAGCTTTAAAGGAGAAAAGCCCCTTGAACATGTCCCTGTCCTTAGTCATAGGGTCCATAATTAAACACAATATACTTGTAATGATCTAACAATGGGGGAAATTACCTCATGGTTCCTACATACTACAGTCTTGTTTGTGTCATAACAGATTTTCAAAAACAACTAAAAATAGTACTAAAAGGAAAATGAAAATGCAATGCTTTTCCTTTCTAGGGAATATGTTACAAAACTGCTGCATCTTCCATTCCCTGGATGCACGCTTCAGCAGAGGGCAAGGCAGGGCAGCCTGGACGCTGTATGCCTGCCTGCCAGGCCTTAGGCTGATGGCTGCTGCCCGTGGGGTACACCCGGAAGGGCTCTGTTCCGACAGGCACTCGCGCTGTTCATTTCATTTTCCACTAGCTTGCAGCTATAACTGACCTCGTCCATCAAGCGGGTCACAGGTTTTTGTTCTCTACTCTCGGCCTCCACACACTTTTCCCCTGTGTGGTTTAGCTGTGGATGAGCTTCAGCACACCATTGGGCACACCTGTTGACACTTACCACCCAGATGTTGGAGCGTGCTTGTAGCTCTGCATTCACCCGGAAGCCACCAAAATCTGAGTCTATTTCCAGCCCACCAGTCTTGGCCAACTCAACATTGGGCTCCAGACCCACAGCTGCCACTATGTGGTCAGTTTCCACCTGGAGAATAAAAGAATTCAGCCAATCCCCACAATTTCCACTTGTATCTGTGACATAACAGCTGCATTTCACATCAAAAATTGGGGCTTTTAAAAATTAGTTGATTTGCCTCTGGTAAACAAGTTTTATAGTCCATTTCATAGAAGTCCCCCTTCCACACACATACCCCATATTATCTGAAGAGAAACCTGCCATCCTAGTAAGGACTTAAAAATCTGTGCCACAGATAGGAAGGGGCCGAGGGAAAGTGGTTTCCAGGTGACTACTTGGGCTCTCACCATTCTCTGTTTTAATGGAGTAACAGTTACTGTTGTTAGGTGCCGTCAAGTCAGTTCTGATACATGATGACCCCATGTACAACAGAAAGAAATACTGCTCGGCCCTGTGCCACCTTCACAATCACTGCTGGTTAAGGCCGTTGTTGCAGCCACTGTGCCAGTCCATCTCATTCAGGGTCTTCCTCTTTACCAAGCATGGTATCCTTCTCCTGGGACTAGACCTTCCTAATAACATGTCCAAAGTAGG